TAAAAGTCTTAATAAAAACTTTTTTAATTATTCAATATTTTTATTTATTAGAACTTCAAGAAACTTTTGATTAACAACACTGCAATTTTGGCATAAATGCATCTTTTTAGAGTATGTACTAGTGTTGCAAACTTAATTAAATTAATTTGTGTATTATAAAAGCAAATTAATAATTGTGGTTTTCAAAGCCCGATAATGTATGTACAAGTTTATTTAAACTATGTACGTAACTATGTACGTATGTACTGTATGTAAGTTTATTTAAACTATGTACGTACAATATAAAGCATTATATTAGATCATGTTGATTTAATTGAACTTTTTGTTCGTTTGTAATTAATAACTTTATTTGAAAGTGACACTTGCTAATATTCTTTCATATCTTGTGCAGGACGTCCATAGTTCCGATACTTTGGACAATAATAGCAAGTCGCACTACGATCGTTAATATCATTTTCGTTTTAGTGATTTATTTTGTTTTTCTGAATACGTATCACTTTGGTTTGACATGTTTAAAGATAAATTTGTAGAAGTTAGTTCGTCGATTATATTAATAGAAACAAGTTCGAAGAGATTTTAATATTGATTTTTATTATATGTAAATAGTAATAGTCCTACGATTTTTTTCATAGTGATACGTAGCTTAAATTAATTTTTGTAAATGTTGTAATTTTTGTATCAATAATAGTTTTTCGTAATTTAAACTATTTTTGCATTTAATATAATTAAGTTTGCAACGCTACAGTAGCATGTACTGTATTTATAATATTTTTTTATTACAAATATTATTCTTTAATCTGTAGAATTTTCATAAAATCAATATGTTTAAATAAATAGAAATCTAATATCTATTTAGCACTTATTTATATATGCTGAAGATAATACTGTATCTATAGATTCAGATAGTGTTCCAAACTGATTAAATTTTACGGCAAGGCTAAGCTATTAAATTTAGCGGCTTAGTTGAAGATACTGCACATGAGATCAATGAATCAATATGACTGCTAGCTTATTTACCGTGGTTTCACTAAAGAACCATGCATGCTTTATCTAACAGAATTTATTTTATTTTTGATGATGCTATTTCATACTAAATAACATTATTAAAGTTCTGTAAAGATTAGCATGACTAAATGCATAAGAACTTATTGATTTTTGTTGGCATCACTCGTAACTCCTGGATTTATATTGGGCTGATCTTTATTAATTCTATCTCATTTGCGGTGATTTAATAACTAATGATCAGTGCATTATAATAAACTACTTGAGTTTGTATTTCTTTTTTATATGTCTCTCGCTTAGGATTTTTTATTTATGCAAATATAGTGGATGAATATAAATATTCGATAATTTGTTAAAATTGAATTATTAGTTTAGAAAAATGTAATGCGAATGATAATTTTCTTTCATTTAAAGAATGAATTCTATGGTTTAGCATAATTCGAGATGTAGATATGATTGTGGTTGGGACTTAAATTTGAAGATAGAATCAATTGAGGATATGTATGCTAATGATAAAAATATCAATATAGATTAATAATTAGCGAGCTAATGAACTATCAGCCAGCTAAGCGGCTAGCTTGATCGGCTTAGAACACTAAATTTGGATCTTAAATATATAAAAATAAATTTGATTATAATTTTTAATAATGAAAAATATAATGTAATACATTATCATTGAAGCACTGCGATAATAATATAAATCATAGTCACTTTGTGAAATAAAAGGTCTAAAGTTTTCTTTTCAAGACATTTATTAACCAAATTATTAAAGAATTGCCGTGAAATAAAGGATATTCTTATATTGGCGTCTTAGATTAAGAAAGATATTTCGTAACTAATAATACGATCATTTTAAGTGTATTTTGTATTACAATATGATCGAGCCACTTAAGTTTTCTTAGGATTTAAGTGGATAGTGTATCCACTTACAACATATATCAGTAACTTTGTATTCGATCATAATTCTGAAAGTTTTTATTTTTTAAAAAAAAATGATAAATTTGAGATTTAATTATTCTTTAATAAAACGAGTTTTAATAAGAATTATTTGTCAAATTATAATTTTGATCATAATTTATTTAATTCTAAACCCATATTTTAAGTAAGGCCCTAGCATCGATTTTAAGTTACACCTGATCTTGAAATTTAATTTCAGGTTGATGACGCTAGGAAGATTGTTGGCTGCTTCGCATCCAATAACTATAACTATATATTAGAGATGAGTTAGTAAAAACGTGCCAAATTTTTTGCTAAGTAAACTTTTTTTAAACTTTAAACAAAAATAACTAATTTGACTAAGTTGTTTTTGTTTAAAGGTTCAAAAAAAAAGTGCTATTAAGAAGATTTGGTGCATTTCTACTGACTCACCTCCAATATTATCATACTATTTAATTATTTAAGATGCTGCAGCTACTTTAAAATTTTATTTATTTTTCTTCTAATATTATTATCTTGAAAAGTTCTTTGTCCCTCGAGATATATATGGACTGAAAAGGCATAGGATCCAAAAACTTAATTGCAGTTTGCATATGGTAATTTAAAAATCTTATTGCATATAACTTTGGATTCATTATTATTAATAATATGACATCAAAGTTGTAATATCATACAGTGTATACACGCTTAAAAAAAATAGATCGGAGAAAACCGATTTAATGACAAAATTGAGATTTATGATTGAGATTTATGATTGAGAACATAAATAAAAAAAAAAAAAGTCAACCAATTAAAATAAGAAAAAATGAAGGAATTGGGAGAAAAGCTAAGGGATAGGTTACAAAAAAAGAAAGAAATTGAAAAAGAGAAAAGCTAAAGAAAAAACAAATATTGAACCTCTACTTTCAAGACGAACAAATGTTTCTAATTTGAGATTTTGAAGATGAGGTTATATCTTTTTGAGTAATTTTATTTTCAATGACCGGGCTGGCATTTTTTTGAGGCAGAGAATGTGGAGAATTATTAAAGGAAACAACGTTCCATTTTTCTCTTTTTTTACGACGTACAACCCTTGGGCATAGTTCATCACGAAGCTTACCCGCTTCTTTTGCTATTCTCTTATATTCTTTACGAACCAATTCGGGCTCAGATTCCCAAGACCGAGAACAGACTAAAAAAAAAATGGTCAGAAAAGATGTATTTCACGTGATGCATTACATTTTTTAAACTTACTTTGTGATATGACAGTCATTGGCAAGGAATAACCATTTGCTCTAGAAGCTTCAACAAATGCCTTGCGATATATTATAAAAGCATTTGGTGCTCTAGATGGTGCATCATCTTTTCTTGTAATTAAATCTCGAGGGTCAATAGTAGGTGGAAACGGTATTTTAATAAAAGGATAGGAATTAATTATCACTTGGTTATGCCTGCCAGGATTATTTGAATCTATGAACACGCGACCACGTGACATATTATTGCCAGCGTCTCGATTCATAGCAATGTTATTTTCTGCCATGATATTGAAGCTTTACGATGAGAATTTTATTTATATAATTCGTGATTTAACGGGTACTTTCTAAAAAGGTAAATGGCTTAAATAAGAACTTTTGACATTAATCGGATTAAAATCCGCGAATAAAAAACCTTTTTTAAAAGAAAAATAGGTCGGTACATTTCTATAAAAAAAGAAAAGGTGACATATTAAAAATTCTAATTTTGGTAAGATGTGAGTTAAAGTTTGTGTATCTTACCATTCCTAGCATTCTATATAAGATCTTTGATTTTCCATAAAGTACTTAGCATACCACAAATAAACAATATGCGAATAAACAATTTGGGTATCCCATATCAGTTCTTAAAACTTCCATAAAACCCTAAGCACATTCAAAGTACAGTACATAATTGAATTATTTTTAATGTTAGCCAAGCAAAAGATCAATGATTTAAGGTTAACTCTCTTTTTAAAAATGTTATTATTATGTGAACACAATACTGTACGTAGCAATTCGGATATATTACGCCACCAAAAGGAGGAAAGTAGGGTAAGTTCTCACATGAGTGTGCTTAACGTTAAAGTCACGCGTTTTTAACATTAAGTTAAATGTCACGGATGATGCTGAAATTAAAATCTATATATTTAATATACGAGTTTTAAAATTTTTTGAGGTACATTCTTTTGGGGGTTTTGTTTTTTTTTTTTTTAGATTTGGACTAGGGTTTAGGGTTAGGGCTTATAATAAAAGAGTGAGTATAGGTGAATTTTTAGTAGGGTTTATATTTCTAAATTAAGGCCCTCATCCAATTTCAGCAACATCCCTTGTGTACGTGCATATGACTAAGAATTCAACTCTCTATTCACGTGGTTACGTCACATGTAAACAACCTCTTTCGTTATCTTTTGATTAATAAAATAAAAACCAGTTTACAGAATCTCTGAAATAAAAGTGAATACAGCATTGGCGTTAGGCGTAACTAATCACATTACCTACTGGAAAGAAAAAAATCACGCAATTTTCGGAAATTTATCGATAAGTCTCCGGTGACATTATAATTAGTTCTATTCTGTATCATATAATTAATTCTATTTCAAGAAAACCCGAGAATATTTGATGTATGTACAGTACGTACGTACGTACTCGGTACTGTAAATAAGATTATGTAATGCGATTCTGTAACATTGATACGATATTACTGTATTATGGTTTATTGTACGGGTCTTATGTGACCTTTTTTCATTTACTTATTGGCACGGGATTGTTACGTCAGACACCGTGCAATAAGATAGTTATTGTATGGGTGTATGGGTATATTGAATACCCAGATACACACACGGGTTCATATTTAAATCCCATGCCTTCGGCACGGAATATGAACCCGTGTGTAACTGGGTACCCATACAATAACTATAAAAAAATAATGTCATATGACGCGCCCATTCTTTTATTACACAACCTCAACACATTTCAATAACATAGTTATTTTTTTGACCCAAAGTCAAAGATCAATCTTTTAGGGTCTTAATTTTTTTTTTTATTCTTTATTAAGTTCAGACAATAAGGGGCGAAATGGTCTTTAAAAAGAATTAGATTATTCTATTTTAGTTAAAAAAAAAATAATAATAATAAGAGAAATGATAAAAGTAGGATACACGTATCAGTTGATCACCAAAAACTGAAAAAATTGAAATATAGATCTAGCAAATCAGAAAAGAAATGCTGCTATTATGTTCTCTCATAAATATTAATATTTGAAGGATGGAAAAAATTATCTATTGCACTGATTTTAATGAGTAATAACAGTGTTGTAAGTAGGGTCACATGAGACAGAAACTTCTTCGATATAAGATTCTAATTTACTAGGTTGTTTAGTCCACTCGATGGGACCGTTAGCCCATTGAGCGGTTCCTTCGGCACCACTACCATCCCAGATGCCTATTTGAACATATGAAGGATGACATGGGAATCTATATGTGCCATTTTTGTAGGTAGATGACCTTTGCAAGACGCGAATAGATTTACCATCGACTAACCATGTAATGCTATCGGGTTTCCAGTCAATAGTATAAGTGTGAAAGCCTGAGTCAATTGCTCCACCGCTAGGAACTTGGTGTACACCACCGTTGACTCCGTATATGAGAATACGATCGTAAAAGTAGTTAGATTGACAATGTTTCACATCTTTTCCTACTAATTCCCAATCAATTTCGTCTCCGTTATCAGACATGGTCTATAGATGATGAATATTGATTATTTATATTATTTATATTATTTATAGTGCGATTTATGACTGATGTAATAAAGATATCGAAATACTTACAACAAGTGCTGTGACAACACCACCGACACCACAGGCCTTCGTTTTCATGCTAACTGTACCGTAAAGCATTTTATATGTGCTGTTAAAAGAGAGTCCTTGACCTAAATTCTTGTTGTAATATCCTTCTTTTCCTTTTGTTCTTTTTTCGTTGCTAGGTTTCAACAAATTTGCGGTCAATTGTCCGCCTGAGGTCGAATAAGTACCTGCTACTTCACAGGTATCAATCCAATCTGCTGAAGCGGGGTTTCCATTATACTTCTTTTGACTAACAATTCTAGAATTCTTGAAATTGTCTTTAAAGGAACGGCAAACATTTTTTTGGCCACTACTAGGAGCGGCGGGGGAAGAACTTTTAGATGACTTTTTAGATTTATTGGTAGGAGACGCTATAGCTCCTATCACTAAAGCTAATCCTAATATTAATAATAGGGTTTTTTTTATCGACAAGTGCATGGTGTTTTTGATATATATATATATTTATTTATATATATATCTAGTTACGTGTATGAAAAAAAAATGGGGGGATATTCTATTGAATGAAAGAATGAAGGGATAAAAACTTTTTTTTTAAATTTTTTGCTGATATTGAAAAAAAAAACCGCGAGGACGACCTTAATATTCTTTTATTATTTTTCGAAAAAAAAACTAATTTCACATGTTACCCAGTAAGGAAAAAGTAATTAATTTAACATGCGTAGACGGTTCGCCAGATCATAGATGCATGTAAATGCTGATCTACATTTTACACCAATATCGATATTGGACCCAGGAATTTCCGGTACTTTTGCATCACTAAGGACAAAGAGAAGCAACATTAATTGCTTCTATGCTATAATTTCTATTTTTATTTCAATAAATTCAATATTAATGCATAAAATACTTTCTTTATTTGATCTTTCGATGCAGGTAAGCAGGAGTCACCAATCAATATTGTACTGCTATCAATAATTACTACAAAGCCCCAATACCATTAATTAAAATAATGATCAATGAGAAGAGAATGATTCAAATAGATCTGTCTCAGACAACTTCTTCAAGGATTATTATCCATTCATTTTATTTACTTCATTTATTTATTTATTTATTATTTATTTGTTCCGATTTGTACTCGATCTGTTGTACCTAATTAACTCCTGCTTTAAAAATTTAACTTCTAAAATTTTTCGTTTATTAAAATTTATTTTATTATTAAATTTAATTCTAGAACAATAACATATATACTCTATTGTTTATATTGCTATTGCCTAAATGTGTAAATGTGTAAATGCGTCAGCAATTTTTGAACTTTGAAATTTCTCAATGAAAAGAATTTTAAGTTTGAAAAACATCGAAGCAACCATCTAAAAATTTTTTTTAATTACTTAGCTCTGCAAGTATTTGATACTTTTTTATTGTGTGTATGCATATTATTGGTAGTTGAATCCTATTACTACAAATTGTTTATTGTTATACATATTCCATTAAATTTGCATCAACCCTACGGTTCTTATTTTTTCCCGATTAAAAAATATCTTTGTATATCTGATAGTATTTAATTCGAAAAATCGATGAAAAAAATAATTATTATATACATGTGACTAATCTATTTTGAAACATCCTGGTTAACGTGAATGTGAAATCATCTTACGTATGAACTTACGTATGAATTAACGTTAAAAAATTTTGAATGCGTACGCAGTATTAGCAGTATTATCTGTAATATGTGGATCTCTATCTTTCAATTAGTTCTGTCATGTGAAGGAATTTATAATTCGCATTGTCTCCTATTTTAAAGAGCTTCCTTATTCAACGAAGAACTGACCATATACTTTATTGAAGGAATCTGAGCTATTTGGCAATGCATAGTTAATTGATTGCTGACTAAAATTGGGGAATACATAATGCAAGTTACCTGCGATTTAATACAATTTTGGTTAATTAGTCTTTTAATGCTAAACTTTTTTTAGTAACCTTACAAAGGTTTTTTTCATGCAATACATGCGATTAATTGATCACCATATGCAAATACAATTTATTAAATTTGATATACCGATACCCCCCGATCGCGGATTATTTTAATTCTCAGCTATACAGTATAACGGTATATAATATCAATTATCAATTACAAGATCGTGAATCTCTATGGTTTTTCCTTATATAACTAATAATAATTTCCGGTTGTACGAAAATAGCATATTATCGCTTCTAGCTCTTGCAGAGCCCTAATACTAGCCTACCAAATAAAAATATAACTTGGAATTATCTTTGCTTTACTTCCAGCTACAGCTGCCATCATGCATGACATAGCATCGCAAATTAAGTGCGGCCAATACCGATATTGTATTAATACGTATATATATTAAATGACTAAATTGGTTTTATAGATAAAACTTTATTAATTTGTGGTCCATTTAATAAATAAGGCCACCATCTTGAGAATAAGCCACTTTGAATTAATTAGTATATACAGTATTACAAAAATTATTACTTTGACAGAAATTTGAATTTTTTTATTCATAAAGTAATATCGATTAATATAGATATGCTTTTTTGTAATCTTTAATGCATGCTTGGCATGTATACATATACATTAAATACATGCACTAACTAAATTTATAATTTACTGATCAGGGGGATATTTCAAGCTGCTGCAAGGCTCCTATATTAAATTTTTGCTACATACCCAAATAAATTGCATTTTTGAGCAACGTCTCTTCGAGTCAAAGTTGTCAAAATTAATATTACTGTGTTTATTAAAATTGTGAACTTCGACCTTTTTATTGACTATTTGACAAAGTCGCTGCTTGTAGAAAAACCGGTCTTTAAAAAAATTTGAATCGAAATGAGGCAATTGTAATATCATTACTAATGATTGTGGTCGATTTCATGTTAGTCGACAAAATCGGCTTTGTCGACTAAGGTTGTTCTCAAGACTTCCCTTTATGGTTAATAAAATAACCTAATTGGTAAAAATTTTCATAGAATTCCTGATTTGCTAATTTCCGTTTCCGGCAAAATCAGTATAAATATCATTTCGATTAATTTCGATTAATCGAAAAGTTTGAGCAGCATCTTGATCACTAACAAATCTTATTGAGGAGTTGTTTGAGAACAACGTAAGTCTGTCGATTTTTTAAAAAGTGAGTACCGAAAAAATTCGTGATCTATATTTTTATACTACAAGCAACGGACATGAGCCTAGTCGGCTTAGCCTTTTTTTTAAGAATTTTTATCTATGTAAGCAATTATTTCATATGAGAAGCTTAAAAAACTATTAAATATTGAATAAACTAGGTAATGCATTGCATTATGTATATCATATGAGTGATCATCGAGTAGTGAAGGACACTTAAAGTACTTTTAAGTAAAAATCATCATGTCATATGAGAAAATTTTTTTGTAATACGTAATGTAGAAACCAACTTGAGTCGTTAGTATTTTACTTTGAGTT